GATATGTGCCACCATATCTGGCTTGGTTTTGCCCATTGTGAGACTAAGAGGCAGGTTACTAGGTAAATATCTGATTTTCCAATATTGTGAAAGACTACAGTTATACCTAAAATTTAAAAAGACTGTAATAAAGAATGCTACTTTAACAAAAACTTGTTTTGTGAGAGAGTTGTTGCTGCTTTAATTATTCAAAAGAAAAAATTTTATAGCTCTTTTTATGAATAGCCTAAGGAGCATCTATATGTTCAATTGACTTGGGAAGTTTTATTTGGCTTAAAGGAGTAGGGCCATTTGGGCCCTAAATAATAAAGGAAATGATTATAAATGGTTATAATAAAAGAAACACTAGATACTGTAAACAATAACCCTCTCTTGGCCTTTCCCCATTTCTTTAGTCATTCAAAGAAAAACAAACGGTAAACATTAATAAACTAGGTGTAGAAAGAGTTGTTCAATTACTTGCTAGAGTATCTCTGACCCAAATTACACAAATCTTCCAAATACATGAAATTGTGTCAAGAAAGTCTGAGGAATACAGAAAATCCCATAATCTCGTCCAGGACAGCAGATATTTTGGATCAGAGTTCTCAAGCTTGAGTTAACTAACATGAGAATTCCCAGAAAGCATCTTAATGGGTGGATTGCTGGATTCTTCACCCATAGTTTGATTGGGTAGGTAGAAGGCAGGGCCTAGAATTGTGCATTTCCAATTCAGTTTCCAGGTGGTGGTGCTATTGCTAACCTGGGGATGTACAGGTACTCTAAAAACCACTGTTTCAGAACATATTCTCATATCCTAAACTCAGTGAAGTTCATGTATGCTTAGAAGTTCTGTTAATTTGTTCAATTTTTAAAAAATCAGCTTATTCTATTCCATAGCCTCACACGTATTGTAAGATTTTTGCCAGGCCTGATGAAAAGAGTTACAAAAGTACATATAATTGATGTTGGGTGAATTAAAAGTAGATTATATTGTATCATTCACAGAATCATTTTTAAGGTTCTTTCAATAGAGATCTCTTTGTCTAACAGAGAAAGAAGCAGATGTAGTGGCATACATTTCTAAGAAAAAACAATGGTGGCATGGTTTACTGGGTTGATGATGAAGATTCAGGCATTGTCAGGAACTCCAAGCATCCCAAAGTGAAAGTTTATAAAATTTAAAAGAGATAAAATTATTCATGTCAGGTTCTATGGGGATTTGTATGACATTTTCTAATCTCAAAATCTTCCAGGAGCTTCTTTTCACTTCCATGCTACTTTCCATAAATTTCATTTTTAGCTTTTATTGCCTTAACTAGAAGCTTTTACATTTTGGTCTCAGAAAAGGATTTCTGCCTCCATGTGGAATTATTCTTCACTCCCAACAATGTTTGATATTGTAGATAAAATGTCATACCTTAAAAACCACATTCTAGGTTAGACTGCTCCTGTGACTGACTAGGCTTTGAAATGAACAAGAATATGATAAGGAGAGCAAGCACAAAGGGACTTAAGCTTACTGAAACATTTTTACTACTTGATCATTTGGGAGAGTTTCTAAAATACATTAAAGATATTTTCTATTTCTAGATATTTGTTGTAGTTTAGGTCTGGAGTATTTCCCAAAAGCTTTAGATGTTCAGAGGTGGAGCTGCTTGAAGGTGATTGGATCATGAAGGCAGTGTACTCATCCTTTGGTTAATCCACTGTTGAGCCCACAGCTAAGTGTGCTGCTAGAAGGTGGGGTCTCATTGGAAGAAGCAGATCACTGTGGGTGTGACCTAGAAGGGTCTGTCTCCCTCCTAGCTCCTTCCCTCAATCTCTGCTTCCTGGTCTCCATGATGTGAGCAGCATTGCTCTACCCAGGCCCTTCAACATCCCCTTCCTGCCCTATAACTGCCCGACTCTGGGCTGAAAACATGAGCCAAAATAACTGCTACTTTAACTTGTGAGTCTCACAAGTGTGATAAGAAAGTGACTAAGATAATACTCAGTAATATAAACTTGAGAGCTTCAGTAGTATTGTCTCTGCTACTTATTTATATCTGATAAAACTAAAACAAATAGATGATAATATTTCTCCTTCACTTCATCCCTCAAAAATAGACCTGCCTTTATACACTCATTTAGAAAACTTGGAGAGTTTTATTATCTGTTTACAAACTACTCTTTTACAAAAGAAATGGGGTGAGAGGAAGGAAAGGAAGAAAAAGAAGAAGTAAAAAAGGAAGTAGGGGAAAAAGAGAAGGAGGAGGTCCTCCAATGAACTTCTGGCAATGAATTACTTTTTCTCAGACCAGTATGGATTAGGAAAGCCAGCCATTAGTTAAATGGATATATTGATTTATGTCTACACTCTAGAGAGGCAAGTGATTCACTCCTTTTTACCGTGAAATCTGGAGTCAATCTCAGTTACACAAATTTCTTAATAGATAGGTTTTTCATATTTTCAAATATATTTATTCAAAAATATAATTGCCAAGTAATTCTATATCAGAGCCAGAAGGATTGCTTCTTTTATGAAGAAAGGCTGGGAAATGGATTTGAAGGTTGAAGAGAATTACCACTGGGTATACTAAAAAATAAAAGCAAAACAAATCAAGAAACTTCTCCATTAGGCTTCTTCTGAACAAAGGCCTCACCATTTTTACGATGTAAAATCTTGAGCAGTGTTGTAAAGTAGGCAGGTTGGTTTTGAATCTCAAATATATTTTCTGTGGTTTTCCAATGGCTTCTTTCATCAAGCTCTCAGAAAAGGCATACTTTTACATGGCACTGAGTGCCCAAATTCCAACCATAACTATTTGATCTACAGAATACAAACTTATGTCTACTTTTTCTTTGTCTTCCTTGGTATTATCATCTCTCTATTTACTCTTCCTCTTCTCATTAATTCTGTGTAGTTGATTTCAGATTGACTTTTGGGTGAAATAAATTAATACAACTATTTCATATTAAGATATGATGAACTTATGGCAAATATCTCTCCAAGAGGAACTAGTACTATAAAAGAAAAGGAGAAGTGGGTGTTCCAAATTGAAGTTATTGTAATTAATGTTTCAATGAAACATTTCCTAAACATGTGTAAATTACCTCACAAGAGAGTCAGGCTACTTGTGTCTAACACATGCTAACACTATGAAAAGGATCGTTGGAAACATTATTATTTCTCAAAGAACTCATTTTGCTTGGGGCTCATCTTTTCTAAAAGCTAGGAGTGTAACCCAAGTGGTACTTTTATTCCAGGGTCATATATTCAAAATAAAATTACAATAAGGAGTACCCAAAAAACCTCAAATTTCCAGTGATTATATTAGGAAAAGTTAATCTTTATTTCATTTTTCTAAACCATGTATTCACAACACTGAAAACTGCCATAACCTTCCTGTTTCAGAGTAAGTGGATTATTTATTTGTGATAATGTGATATTTGTGATAACATATGGTCATTAACATGCTGTCATAAACAGCTGCATTAAATGTAGTATGTGTTCTATGACATAAATAAGATGCTCAACATAAGGTTTTATTTAAAATATAGGCCCAAAGAAGAACAAAAAATCAATAAGTGCTTTTTAATATTGTTGCCCGTCTTGAATTCTAAATTTATTCCTCTTTTATTAATCCTACTTGTATGGAAATTGCAGGCATTATTCTAGGGAAATATCTTGACATTCAGCAACATTAGAATTTCCTCCTGGTTTCTTATCTTTAGTGTATCTTTAGACAAGTATTTTCTAGCTTGTGATTCTTTTCTGGTAAAGGAGGAGATGCTGGAGAGATGGGAGAGGCATTGACAGCCCAATCAATCTACATCCAGTGAGTTTAGAGCAGGGTTCAACTAGTGGACACCTTCCACCTATCTTAGTACCAGATAGTTCCAAACTGGATGTTGAATTTAAAGATAAAGATAAATTAAGGCCTGAGAAAAGTGAAAGCTAAAATATTTTAGGTATTTTTAACAAAATGCCGGCATCAAAAGAATAAAGAAATCTTACAAGAAAATGTTCATTGCCCCTACATTTTTACTCAAGGTGGTTTAGGAGAAAATGTAATTAAGCAGGGGCATAGAAATTTAGTTAGACTCTAAGGATGGTTAAATATTGAAAACAAGATTCCTAGGGGGACATTGTAGAATCTTCAGCCTTAGAGCTTGTTCAAAATGAAACTGAAAGCATTTGAATTTGAATGATTCTGTAAGTATACATAGTTGGTCCAAAGTTCAGCCCAACGTAAGACCTTTTCAAGTTCTTTGATTTAACAATCAAGAGTTCTGATAAATGCTATGTATTGCCAACCTTAAAAAGAAAATGCTTTAATTATATTTTTTTATCCCTTTGAGATTCCTAAATGACTTTCTATTCCTCCTGTTGTTTATATTCACTTATGTTTATGATGACAAAAAAAAAATCCAACTATAATATTCTTTCAGATATCTAAGCCCATGAGAAACATTTAGATGGAAATTGAGACATTTCAGGGGTTTTAAGTAGTAGCTTTATTGACATGCTTCTGTGGGTGGTATTTTTTATTTAAAAAACCCATTTAAGCTTTGTTGTAAATAATTTTACCTATGATGTTGCTTATATTTATTTTTCATAAACCAACTTATCTTCAATTTATAGTGCCATAAAAAGAATGAAGAGATGGAAATAATCCCCTAAATTTTAGCTACCACTCTACTAAGTATTGCTACTTTAAAATAACTGATTTTATTTAGAAAATATTCATTATTTCTGTCTAAGTTATCAATATGGCTGATATATGATGATAGCCATATTTAGAATTTGTGAATTCTTTATTTTCACAATATTATCTTGAGGAAGTTGTTTCACTAATTGTGGGTTCCTCAAATAGATACTTTTCTTCTCTTAACACAATATCCCAGATTTTATGTTTACTCCTGGACACTTTTCTAAAAACCCTAACCTTTTTGAAAAAGTTTTATAAAGAAAAGACAGAATTTAACTCTAAGGTTTCTTTGAATGTATAGCATAATTCCTTTTGTTCTCATTTCAGGTTTCCAAATTAAAGCTTTCACGTCCCTGCACTTCCTGTCAGAACCTTCTGATGCTGTCACAATGCGGGGAGGAAATGTCCTTCTAAACTGCTCTGCAGAGTCCGACCGAGGAGTTCCAGTTATCAAGTGGAAGAAAGATGGCATCCACCTACCCTTGGGAACAGATGAAAGGAAGCAGCAACTTCCAAATGGGTCTCTGTTGATACAAAACATACTTCATTCCAGACACCATAAGCCAGATGAGGGAGTTTACCAATGTGAGGCATCTTTGGGAGATTCTGGGTCAATTATTAGTCGCACAGCAAAAGTTGCAGTAGCAGGTATGTGGATCTTTTCTCCGCCGCCTCCTCCTCCTCCTCCTCCTCCTCCCCCCCCCCTTCTTGTTCCTTTTTGGGGATAAGAAAAAATACTTTATGGAAACAATGTACATTTTAATTTTTAACTGAAAAATAATTATATTTTATGTGCTATAATGTGATGTTTTGGGCGGGGGATTTAGCTCAGTGGTTTCACTGCCTGCTGCGCAAGCGCAAGGACCCGAATTCGATCCCCGGTACCAAAAAAATAAAAAGGATAGTAGTATAATGTGATGCTTTGATATATGTATACATTGTGGAATGATTATATCAAGCTAATTAGCATATTCATCATCTCATGTACTTATCTTTTGTGGTGAGAACTTTTAAAATTACTCTCTTAGCAATGTTGAAGCACACATTATATTTGTTAACTATGATCACAATGCTGTGTGGTATCTCAAAAATGTACTCCTGTCTACCTGAAACTGGGTACCCTTTGTCAGATATCTCCCCATTCCCCCATTCCTCTGCTCCTCTGGTAACCACCTTTGGTGATTACCATTCTATTCTTTCTTCTATGAATGTGACTTTTTAGATGCCATCTAAAGTGAACTCAGGTAGTGTCTGCTTTTCTATGCCTAGCTTATTTCACTTAGTGTAACATTCTCCAGATTCACCCAGGCTGTTAGAAATAACAAGATTTCCTTCTTTATCAGGGCTGAATAATACTTAGTTTGATTCCATATCTTAAACATTGTGAATAAGGCTGTAGTGAACATGGGAGTATAGATATTCTTATGCCATATTGATTTCCATACATATACTCAGTAGTGGGATTCCTACATCTAATCTAATTCAAATTTGTAGAAGTATCTTCTTACTGTTTTCCATATTTGCTGTATTCATTTATTTTCCTAATAACAATGTATATTTTTAAGAGAAAGGAAAGGTTTAAAAAAATTTATCTTCATGGTCTTAACTGACTTTTCTCCTTAAATTAGTGAAGAAACAGTTGGAAGATCTCCATAATCAAAATAGCATTAACAAATTTTTTTTAAAAAGCTGATTCAAGTTAATTCATTGCTTGTATTTATGGGAGAACTTTTTATTAATATAAAATTAATAATTTTTAAATTTTTAATTAAAATACTTCTTAATTCTGTTTTACACCTTCACTGACTTTGAATTTTTATGAATTTATTTTGGCCCATAGAGAAGTTAATTTTATTTTAATTGTAATGGCATGACCTACAGTAAATCACTCTCAAGTGAATAGCAGAATTTTGTACAATTCTTTCCAAATATCTCAATGTTTGGTAACAGACTGACTGAACAGCTGAATGATAGGAAGAATTATTTTTCTTTTTCACTGCATACATTGAAGGCAGGTAGGCTCTGACAAAACTGTACTGAATATCCTGCAGTCCATGATATTGCTATTTCTGCCCCAATATTCTGGTCAGAAAGCAGATAACATTATTTCTTTTGGTCCCTACACTGTTAGAACTGCAGGGAATGGAATCTGAATTTTGCTTTTGTTTCTTTCTATAATTATTTGACTAAAACTTTGAGTGAGCTACATGTTTAAAATTTTGATATGGAACATCAAAAACAGCAAATGGACCCAATCTGAGCCAAATCTAAGCCATCAAATGGGTAAACCAATTTGAAGAGTCATTTCCAAACTTAATCTTTAATTCTTACAAAAGAAGAAAAAAAATGAACCAACAGGCTCTTATTTAGCTATTTAATTCTTCCCCAGAGACAGTTTAGTTTAGTCTTATCCTGGAAGACTCATCAAACTCAGAACCCATTTTCAGTGATAAGAGTAACTAGAACAATTGGGAAGGGCCCCAACTCCCCATATACACTTCTAGTGATGATTCAAGTAAGTTAAAATCTCAAAGAGGAGATTTTGTTAGTAATACTAGAAACAAAAGTCTCAGAAATGGCATCAGCTCCCAAAGCTGGCCTCATACCACTTTTTTATGGCTTCTTTTCCCCACTAAGGATTCTATTATAGACTGACTGTTTTTTCCCATCAAAATTTCTATGGTAAAATCCAAACTTTCAATGTAATAATTATAGGAGGTGGGGCCCTTGGAGTTCATTAGGGCATGAGGTTGATTAGTGCCCTTGTAAGGGGGCATTCAGAAAACTCTCTCACCTTTTTTTTTTGTCATGTGAGAACTTAATAAGTGAGCAGTCTACAGCTCAGACGGGGGTCCCCCACCAAGTGTCATGCTCACACTCTGATCCCTCAGACTTCCAGCCTCCACAACTATGAAAACAAATTTCTGTTGTTCATAGGCTGACTGGTTTATGGATCTTTGTTATAACTCTTCCATGCCAGGTAAGCCAGACTGACCTCAGCACAGATATCCTGGTGGGTAAGGTCTTCACCTACAGGTAGTGAAGCCAACCATTCTGATTCATCCTGACTGACCTGGGATTAGTATTTGAAAGTCCCATGTCCTGGGAAGGCCTTCAGTACCAGGTGAAACTAGGATGTTTGGTTACCCTGTCTAGAGGTAACCCTGCTTGATTTAACAATGACAGCCTGAAGAGACAGGTGAGGTGACATTCTGATCATGGAAACCTGGACCCTGTGAGTGACATGTGTCTGAAATGTGATTGATGAGCATAACATGTAGAGAGGAATGAGAGTTAATGATAATTATGATTGATTAAAAGCAGCAAATAGAAAAGTGCTGGGGAATAGACAAAAACTGCATTCTTAGGATGCTCCAGGTGAAGTGGGATTAATTCATCTGTGAGTTTCTGAATCAAAGTCATCAGTTGTCTGTAGTACCAGAGATGCTCTGTGGGTTTCAATGGATCAGGATGGCACTGTGGTGTCCTATTACAAAAGGTAGCTCCCTCGGCACTGTTAATGAAATTGGCCCGATATGCTGCAGTTTCGACTTTCCTGCAATCCAACTTCCCTTTTGCATGTTCTTTTTCAATGGTGAAATGAAGAATGGTTCTTTCCCTGTAAGATATTAAAGTAGCTTTGACTTTAGTATTCTGTACAAGGATAGGCTCATGGATTCAGTCATTGAGCTGCAATCTAATATTAGATGGTATCATTTCAAGGCAATAAGGCTGTTCATAGCATTTTAAACACTTACCATGCTGTTTGGCAACACAAAATACATCAATGTTATGTCTGCCGAGGTTAAGATTGCCAAACCACTAGAATTCATAAAGGGCATATATCTTCCTTGTAATAAAGAGCATGGACCTGATTTAATCTCATTTTTAAAGCATTAGTAGTCAATAAACCAGTCACCACTAAAAGGTAACAGTGGGCTTTGCTCTGGTGGAAAAAAATCTGTTCTGTACCCTCAGGTGTAGTGGAGAGCCCATTAAATATAATGCCCCTTTTTCCATTTTTTGCCTTCTTAAACTGCCTTTTGATAAAACGAAATGTGGCAAATGAAATCTGTCAGAATGTTTTATGCAGTGGTCTTGTCATGCACCATTCATCCTATTTTCTAGGAACCTCTCAAGTGCTCTTTACACTCTGAGTGCACACTTGGCTAGAGAGGAAAGAAGTAGGAAAGATAAACAGAAGCCTACCATCCTATCCGATGTCTTGTTCAAAGTCACAGTGTAACAGGGCACTGACTGTGAGCATCTCTGGTAATTCTGATTTCCAGTAGTAAATAATGGCTGGGCTCTCAAGTTCTCCATTTCAAAAGCAACCAAATCAGTACTAGCTAAAGCCTGGGTATTTCATTTTTATGCAATTAGCTCGAATATAACAAATTTGGGGATCTTTCTCTACCAAGTATTCCTCTCTTTAGGGATACAATTGAGGCTAAGTAAAAGGCTGTAGTGAATTTATCTCTAAAACCATTCCTAACACGCTCTCCAATCTGTACCTACTAAAGCATACTCCATGTTTAGTTGTAGACATTTATCTTACCAGTGAAGACACAGGGCTTTATCCTGTAAATGGAGATCTCTGTCCACCTCATTCTTCCCTGCCTTTTTTCTTTCTTCTCTTTCTTCTCTCTCCCCTCTGCTTCAACTTTACTGGACTTGACTAATTACTTGAAATTCCCTGCATTTGTGCATATATAAAGATACTCTCGGTGGACTTGTAGTGGCAAAGTGCCAGCCACAATATATAGCTCTGGAGCTACAGCCCAATGCAGGTAGTCCAGGAGAATGGAAGATGCACCCAGGAATCTGGGAGGCAACGTGTACAGCTTTTATTTTTAATGCCAGCTGGTCAGTCTGGTCAGTCTCTCCACAAAGAGACTGACTGCAAATCAGCCAGAGCTGGGTTGCTATACACTTTGGGAAGGGCAGGGTTACAAGTTTCAATCCTTCATTTACATTATTGGTTACAGAATTTCACATACAGCGGGTTAATTGGTTAACACAGTGCACTGAGTTTTATCTTATTAGCATATGGCGGGAAGCCAGAAAAAAGAAAATTTCTAAGATGTTTGAGGGAGCTGGGCCCAGGCAGGCCCAGGAATGTTAAAAGTAATGAAGGGAAGCACAAGGTCCTGAGTTCAATCTCCAGTACCACCAAAAAAAAAGTAATGAAGGGAAGTCATCTTTCCCTGTTTACAAGTCCAGCTTTAGCTACAGAGAAGTTTATTTCCCTTTCAGACTGAGTTGGAATAATTTTATATCTGAATTTCCTACAAATTAACTATTAAGGACCTTGGAATTAGCAGGTGGACTCTGTTGGAATATTTATGTCACTTTAAAAGAAAAGTGTTAGTTTCACATTCTTCCACAATCCATACAATCAAGAGGAACTAGATCTGGCCAAGCATATCTTCCCTACTCCAGATGCTGCCAGCTATCTGAACTTCTCAATTCTCTTATATTCAACAGGCAAAATAATAACCTACTTCTTAAGGGTGTGGTGGTTTTTAAATGACATCTGGGATGTAAAACTCTAGTGCTAAGAAGATTTATGTTCAAGGACAATAGTACTATAAATAGACTTAATAATGGTTATTGTGTTATTACAATTATTATTATTTAGAAATGAC